AAGCAATTAATCTATACTCAATAACCCTTTCAGTTATGATACACCTATTTGAAAGTACACCAAAACGGAACTAAAACTGTAGGAGATGTACAGAGTATGGCTATTAGCTAATACCTGGAACGTAGTACCGGGAACAAGGATATGTTGAACATAACTTGACGTTTGCGTATCCAAAACTATATTGCCTAGACTCATATCGAGTGTTTGTCTTAATGAGATGCTTTATTAAATTTAAATTCAGCCCATCATTTTTAGTTTCCTCGAAAATATTTAGATTTTTCGATCAGGAGTATTTAATAAAAAAATTGGGGGAACTGGGGAGTTAAAGATTGGAAACTAACTTTCTAAATTTAGGTACATCTCTCCTCTGTTCATCTTTCTCTAAGCATATTATTGAGGGAAAGAAAAGCAATTAATCTATACTCAATAACCCTTTCAGTTATGATACACCTATTTGAAAGTACACCAAAACGGAACTAAAACTGTAGGAGATGTACAGAGTATGGCTATTAGCTAATACCTGGAACGTAGTACCGGGAACAAGGATATGTTGAACATAACTTGACGTTTGCGTATCCAAAACTATATTGCCTAGACTCATATCGAGTGTTTGTCTTAATGAGATGCTTTATTAAATTTAAATTCAGCCCATCATTTTTAGTTTCCTCGAAAATATTTAGATTTTTCGATCAGGAGCCTTGACAATTTTCACACAAACTTCAAGTTTGAAGATAAAATAAAGAATAAAGGACTTTGAGTTGATGTGTAAGTTTTGACGAGTTAAAACTATGTATATTCAAGATTATTTTGATCAATAAGTTTTTACCATGACAGTGGTATTTTAGTGAGTAAAAGTGAGGTTTGTCTCATCCGTAGTTTTACTGAATTTTCACGGTCACATGACTCTATTGTTGCTGATAGACTTGGGGTCAAACCGTGACCTGCTTTCCAACTGAACAGGTCCTGGTTATTCTTGTTCAGTAGTCTTGCATCCCGTGACTTATTTTTCAAGCTTGTCTCTAAGCTTGGATTTTTTTCTCGAAATTCTTTAATGACCCCATATAAACAAGGAATGTCGAGACATTTTTTAACTTTATTTACTTGGAGAAAACTGCCTAAGGGGCCTGGTTGGTCGAGTAGTTGATTGAGGTATATACGATATGATAAGGTAGGTAATTTTCATAGGTGAATATCTGAGAGTCGCATCTAAGACTGTCTATAGTAAGGTAGCTAGTTTTCATAGATTACTATCTGAGAGCCGTATCTAAGACCATGGAAGTAATATTTAAATATGCTAAGACTGTCTATATAAAGGTAGCTTATTTTCATACGGATTACTATCTGGGAGCCGCATCTAAGACCGTCTATAGTAAGGTAGCTAATTTCCATAGTTAACTATCTGAGAGCCGCATGTAAGACTGTCTAATGTAAGGTAGCTAATTTTCATAGGTGAATATCTGAGAGCCGCATCTAAGACCGTCTATTGTAAGGTAGCTAATTGTCATAGATTACTATCCGAGAGCAGCAATTAAGACTGTCTACAGTAAGGTAGCTAATTTTCATAGATTACTATCTTGAGAGCCGTATCTAAGACTGTCTATATTAAGGTAGCTAATTTTCATAGATTACCATCTGAGAGCTGCATCTAAGACTGTCTATAGTAATGTAGCTAATTTTCATAGATCAATTAATTGGTGACTAGTATCTAATACTCTGTATACTGATATAGCTAATTTTCATAGGTGACTATCTGAAAGCCGTATCTAAGACTGTCTATATAAAGGTAGCTAATTTTCATAGATTACTATCTTGGAGCCGCATCTAAGACCGTCTAAAGAAAGGTAGCTAATTGGTATAGATTACTATCTAGGAGCCGCATCTAAGACCGTCTATAGTAAGGTAGCTAATTTTCATAGATTACTATCTGAGAGCCGTATCTTAGACTGTCTATAGTAAGCTAGCTAATTTTCATAGATTACGGTCTGAGAGCCGCATCTAAGACTGTCTATAGTAAGGTGGTTAATTTTCATAGTTTACTATCTGAGAGCCGCATCTAAGACTGTCTATAGTAAGGTTGATAATTTACATAGATTACTATCTGAGAGCAGCATCTAAGACGTCTATAGTAAGGTAGTTAATTTTCATAGAACAATCGGTGAGTAGTATCTATCACTGTGTTTGCTGATGTAGCTGATTTTCATAGGTGACTATCTGAGAGCCGCATCTAAGACTGTCTTTATTAAGGTGGCTAAATGTCATAGATTACTATCTGAGAGCAGCATATAAGACTGTCTACAGTAAGGTAGCTAATTTTCATAGATTACTATCTGAGGGCCGCAATTAAGACTGTCTACAGTAAGGTAGCTAATTTTGATAGATAACTATCTGACATTAGTCCATGCTTATTATTCATCTTTTTTAAGAAATAGATGCTCTTAAGGGAGCAACCATTTAACTTCAAAGGGGGATTATGGTTTTGTGTCTGAGTCAGAAATTTTTTTTTGCGCAAAGCACGAACATTTTTTTTTTCGACGCTATTAATCAAGTTATCATTTTCAAAATTGAACACTATAAGGTATGAGGGAAATCTGGATTCAGAATATTTTTTTTGTCATCTGCTTGACCACAATATTTTTTTTCATCAAATTGGGGATCAGAATATTATTTTATGAAAAAAAAAACATATATAACACCCCCCTCCTTTTATGGAGTTAAATGGTAGATCCCTAACATATTTTATTTGCTCATTTTTAAAAAGATGACCTCTAAGTGGACATTTCAGTAGATTTTACTTTTTCCATTGATTACTTCATCTGTTGATATTGTAGTGACAATAATTAGTATAAACAAATACATCCGCTATTAATTCTAAACTGTTATACTGATAATTGACACTGTGACAACTTTCTATGTATCTATCATTTCGACCACACAGCAGTTAATTATCTGCATATGATTTAATAAGGTTTAGAGAATTTTTTACAGATCTTGCATAAAAAAAATAAACCTTTTAGGTAGCACGGTAGTATTTGCATTCCAGAATTTAGGTTGCTCTTTTGTGTACCCTACTTAAGTCAATGTATCTGAACATTATGATTGGACAAAAAATACAGTATCAACTGAACATACTTTCCCAAACTGAGGGATGAATCAGGTGTAGAAAAATATGAAATAATTTTACATACAGATGAAAATGAATTTTTGAGAATTTTTTTAAATTTTGTATTCACTGCACGATAAAAGACCTAAAAGCACTAGTGGCCTTAGGTTCTTAAAGATAGCAAAAAAAGTAAACGGTCATGATACATATTCAAATTCATTTCTGAATAGTAAAATGAAAGTACTTCAGTTAACTGTGAATGTAGAATTTTTAGCCGTGTTAGAATGTGGTGAAAATTCTAAAAAGGCTATCATTATCCCTTATGGGCCAGGAAATACTACCGTGCCACCTTAAAGAGGACACTATATACAGACTTTTCTCGTCTCAGGATAAGACATCAAATGCCGGAAAATTAACTATGTGTATTTCAGTTCCGATCAACTGTCATTAATTCATGTTCGTTTTATTATGCATATATTGCACACTGACATTCAATATTGAAATATCAATTATTAATACGTGTTTATTTGCTTTGTTAATCTGCAATATGCAATTTTTTTTTGCTATTAAAACAATGTATCTGTATTTTATCACTTCTGCCAATCTAGGCACACCTCCAGAGAGGCACACCTCCAGAGTCGTGTCTATTTGTAAATGTTTTAATTTTCAACAAGTAAAGTGAACAAAATGTTAAAAGCATGGGTGTATTAACGCACAACACTGAACAGCCAGTTTAAAATTTCAGAAAAGTTCATCTTAATATATATACAAAAATTGATATTCCAAGTCTAACAAGACATCCATTTTATATCAATCAATATCGAAAAATACCACATTTCCAATACTAAATCAACAACCACATGCACACATATTACCTTAAATTAGGATAGAGCGAAGCAGTCCACACCTTTTTAGAAAGGTCAAACTTGTCATAGGTAGTGTTATTTTAATACGACACCGGTAAAATAACCATTTCTATAGAAAATGCAAAATAGCCACTGCCAATTTCTTATTGTTCCTTTTTGCGGGTAATCGTAGGCAGTGCCTTTCACACGAATGCCAAATTTTGACTAGCCTATGTAATAAGTATAGATTATTACATGGCATTTTTCATATCAGACCCTTTATCGGCCCTAGGTCATGATATCAGTCCAAGAGCCGCAGGCTCGAGGGCTGATATCATGAACGAGGGCCGATAAAGGGTCTGATATGATAAATGACATGTAATTATCTTTTTATCATATACTTCAACAGAAGAAATACAGACAAGAACTATTAATTAAAATTTTGTCTTTCCATGAATTTTTAGATAATAATTTACAGACAACCAAATACAAATGTCTTAACTTTTATTGTTTTTATTGATATTACAAGCATTTTATTTATCTTGTCACAACAATTAACATGTTCTTAGTTTGAAATTTGCTCCTCAACTATTTTGTGGAAAGTCTTAAATCACTTGCGGTTTTCCGCACTGAGTTGTCGTTTTCGAACAAATTTCCGGAAATGCACGACGTTGCATATGATAAACGTCACGGAAATTAACGGAAAGGCATGTGATAACATTCCGGAAGCAGTCAATAAAGGTTCCTTTATCAGCCCGCTGAGGAAATTCTTAGGAATCTGATAAATAAACCTAGTAATCCTTTCATAGCCTTTTAATATTTTTAAATGTTATTGAACTGTAAAATTTTAGTAATATTTAATACAAGTATATATGATAAATGTTGTTATTGTCGTTATTATTGTTTTTACATGTTATTTGTATGTTTTCAATAAATATGTGTTGTATAGTTTTATATATGCCGATTCGAATCAAAATAAAATTGTCTTATAAATCCTACAGAAGGTAGTGGCGTACTTCATTTTCCACAAACAAGTCTTCACATTGACACGAGATGGCGCTGCGTATTACAATACAATATGCACTCAACAGCAGCACTCGATGGTCAGTAAATCTCATAAATTAAACAACACACAAATCATTTCAGAAGCATGCAGCATTTTTCCAGACTATTGTTTATTCATGAATAAAATGCAGACGGTCACATTAAGAAATATGTACGGTACTGGCAACTGTAATCAGTGCCATATGTATTTATAAAGACATGTAGTGTGCTTTTGAATCCTGTACCATCAGAAGTCCATTACAGAGGGTAGGATTAATGCCCTTAAATGTCACTTTTTCGCTACCAAATGATCATAATTGTTTTTAGTCTATCGTCAAATCTCAATTGATAGCTACCGTTAACGTCAAATGGAGTAAAATGTTTATCAGTTAACATTATTTTATCAAATATAATAATTTTTACATTCAAGGCGTCATTCCTCATGTGAGGTACCTTATTCCTACCCTCATTTTTAGGGGAAGTGTGCAACTTATTAAGCTGAGCGATGTCCCCGTTATAAGTGGAAAGGGTCCTTAATCTCGTTTTCAACTATGGAATCAATGGTAGATCATGGTAGAAATATGCGCCTTATCGCAAATTGGAAATCTGCGCTGGTTGACCAGAGAATCTACGCCGGTTGACCCGAGAATCTGCGCCGCTTGAACTATTGAAGTCATACAACAATCACTTTTCCATTGTGGCATCAGATACTGTATATGTTATAATATTATGACGTCAAAATTTTATGGGAGCCTTTGTGATGTCCAGTAATGGCGGACAAATAGCAATAAGGTGTATTATCATCAAACAGATAGCTGTTAATTAGTCGCTTTGAGTTTTTGATTATCAACATATTAAAATCAAATTTTGTTAAAGAATATACTAGTACTGTTACCATTAATCATTTAAGGTTCATCATAACCTTTTCGCAAATTATAATGGTCGTAATTACACCACAAATTTCACTCCGAGTACAGACAATTCTGTGCACCTTGAAAAGTTTAAGAACATGGCTGGATCTAGATAAATTAAATTTAAATGCATTTTAAGTTCAGAATATTAAAAACTTAACTAGATATTGCTATTAATTTTTTTTCGTTCCTGCAGAAGGTGCCAAAATTAACTAGGTTGTGAAAGAGGTTTGAGAAGCTCCCCTCATATAATACATGTTGTGAGTTGTATTGATTTAAATGGACAATAGACATCTCCAAACAATAGGTGATTTAAACTGTGTAAGTGAGTGGACCGTATCAAATGAAACTCGGGTGATAGTTTATTTTGCTATCTTCTGCAAACTGGAAAAAAATCTAGGTATTAGTTTTTAATTTTCTGAAACATAAACTACATATATCTAGGTCCAGCCAGGCCTTAAAACTTTCCTAGATCCATCAGTTTGTCTGTACTTGGAGTAGATATTGTGGTGTAAACACGGTCATATTTTTCCATTCCTTCTGATGAACCTTAAATTGTGCAAAGGCAAATGAGAAATATAAAATTGTATCAAAACTGCCATGACTGATATCTTCTACTTAAAAGAATAGTTGTTTTTATCAAAATATTGCCATGATTGCTTCCTTTTGTAAATACATTGTAGAACTATGTCTTGATGAATGTCATCGATATTTACGGCACCTCAAGGAAGCTTACATATTACAGACCTGCCAACTATCCCGATTTATGGGGGATATATATATCGTTTTTTATAAATTTCAGATTTACCATTTCCGAGTATTGGGGTTTTATCCATTAAAAAAGGGGGGGGGGGTGTGTGGATTTTCCAGTTTTTGGACAATAACTCAAAAAAAATTTCACGAATTTGCATGAAACTTTAGTTCATATCTATTGACGTGAGCTCCCTTTCGTTTTTTTATAAATTTCGGATTTACCGTTTCTGAGTTTTGGGGTTTTATTCATAAAAAAAGGGGGGATTTTCCAGTTTTCAGGCAATAACTAAAAAACAATTTCACCAATTTGCAAGAAACTTTGGTGAATTGTTTATTTCTATCGACATGAGCTCCCTTTTGATTTTTATAAATTTCAGACGATACGTTTCCGATTTATGGGGTTTTATTCATTACAAAAAGGGGGATTTTCCAGTTTTCTGACAATAACTCAAAAATGCTTTCAGCATTTTTTGTGAAACTTTGGTAAATTGTTTATATCTATTTTTGTAAGCTCCCTTTTGATTTTTAGAAATTTTCGATTTTATGTTTCCGAGTTATAAGATTTTATTTGTTTATAGTCGGACAACAGATTTACAAAGTAAAGACAAGACATCTTTCATATAACCAATTTCAAGTTCTTTGACTACATTTATTCAGAAACCTATAAAATATAAAATTTTTAATTACAATCCAAATTCAGACCTGTATCAAGCTTGAATATTGTGTCCATTTTTGCTCCAACTGTTCAGGGTTGGACCTCTGCAGGCGTATCCAGCTGCGTCAGCAAAGCAGTTTATTGGTTATTATCTTGAATATTATTATAGATAAAGATAAACTGTAAACAGCAAAAATGTTCAGCAAAGTAAGATCTACAAATAAGTTAAATGACCAAAATTGTCAATTGACCCCTTAAGGAGTTATTGCTCATTAAGGACAATTTTACACAATTTGTTTATCATGTTTTCTAACTTTGAAAAATCTTCTCCTCTGAAACTACTGAACCAATTCCAACCAAACTTAAGTTGAATGATCCTTAGGGTTTCTAGAATAAAGTTTGTGTTTTATTTTCTGTTTTCGTTGAAAAACCTGGCGGCCATAGCTAAAAATAGATTATAGGGGTAAAATGCAGGTTTTGGCTTATATCTCAAAAACAAAAGCATTTAGAGCAACTCTGACATGGGGTAAAAATGTTCATTAGGTGAAGTTCTATCAGCCCTGAAATTTTCAGATGAATCTAACAACCAATTGTTGGGTTGTTGCCACTAAATTGGTAATTTTAAGGAAATTTTGCAGTTTTTGGTTATTATCTTGAATATTATTATAGATAAAGATAAACTGTAAACAGCAAAAATGTTAAGCAAAGTAAGATCTACAAATAAGTTTTTTTTTTACCAAAATTGTCAATTGACCCCTTAAAGAGTTATTGCCCTTTAAAGACAATTTTTCACAATTTGTTCATCTAGTTTGCTTACTTTAGTCTTAAAAAATCTTCTCCTTTGAAACTGCTGAATCAATTTCAGCCAAACTTGGGCTGAATGAGTTTCAGAGTATCTAGTATAAATTTTGTATTTTTTTCCTTGTACGTCAAGAAACAAAGCCACTAGGCCACTCCAAATTAATACCTCGTTCCTCGGATTCCCCGAGTGTTGTGAAAGGACGACCAGAAAAAGTACTTTTTTAAAAAACCTGCGTCCAGTACGGAGCTGGGCATGTCCGTCTCTTAATTTATGAAACAAAAATTTTAATCAGTTGTGCGTTTGAAAGTTTCACCATACAGACACGGAAATTGACATTAAAAACGATCTAGATCTAACATTCAAAACTGTGTTGATACAATATTAATGCCAAATTTAGTATGATAAGCATTTTAAACGTAAGACATGAGTGGACTATTTGTAGTTACACTGGTAACGCAGGCAAACACATCAGTAGAATATGATTTGGGCAATTCTTTTACCGATTTGTTGGAAGTGCTCCGTGCAAGACCACAACATGCACAAACGTTCATAACATCAAACTACAGTTATGACAAACGAATGACAGCAATTTTTAGACCAGCTGCAACTACATGTACCATCCCTAAAAGATCGTCGAACCCAAAACAGATAATATCCTCTTCTGCAAAGTCATACACGGTGAAGCCAATTTATCATCTGATCAACTGAAAAAAACATCTAGGACAACCAAGAACATTCATTATGTTCAACATTTCCTGAGACTGCAAACAAAACCAGACAAATTAAAATTCTGCTTCATACCAAACACAATTAAAGATTGGAACTGACTACCACCGGATATTTTCACCAAGATTCAAACAGCAGAAGAACCAGCTAGAACTTTCAGTGATATTGTAAGGGAATTCCCACTTAAGTGAGTTACTTGACTCACACGCAGTGTAGTTATATTCTTGAATGATTCACCGTATACCTATCAAGATCAAATGACAAAGCAAAGATGCCACCGAATTGAAAGGTTTAGATTATGACAATATAACATGCATAAGTATAAAAGAGAATCCCAAAGCTGATGGTACATGAATTGAAATGTCATGATCACCGCAAATGAAACTATTATATTGTTTACTTTTTTTTTTTATCTGTTTTAGAATAAAGGTTTTTCCTTGAATTTTTTCAATCTTTTATTTATATTTGCTAGTATCATTACAAAGTTGTATTAAAATAAAATTGAGAATGGAAATGGGGAATGTGTCAAAGAGACAGCAACCCAACCAAATAGCAGAAAACAGCTAAGGCCACTAATGAATCTTAAACACAGCAAGAAAATCCCGCACCCAGAGGCTGGCTTCAGCTGACCCCTAAACAATTATGTGTACTAGTTCAAAGCATGGAATTTGACAAGAATACTTATGTGGTAATTGAATTTAACACATTAATCCATCTTTACAATTTACAAAATCTTCTAAAAATAAGAATTTGTATGATTGTCAATGAGACAACCTTCCACCAGAGACCAAATTTGTTGAGGTTTGCAACTAGTTAACGGTATGGCCTTCAGCACATCAATATCCACATGCATAGATATATAAATGTGATTGTCATTAAATTCTACAGGAAAGCTATGACTTAAGTGGAATGTATTGAAATGTTCCTTTTGTTTAGCTAGTATATAGCATCTGACTGGTTCAATTGAATGGTATAAATTGGTGTGGTTTTTGAAGCTTTATTTATTGTCAGCTTGTTGTATACACAAATATTTATGGTTGTATATACAAGCTTTATACATGCATTAATGCTTTGCATACGTTCATTTAAAACAACATACTACATGTATGCATCAATTATAACTTACATTAAACATGGATGCATGCCTGTTCAAAGCTGTTGCACTTTTTCATGTTCAACAGGATCATATTTATTTGATCAGAATACACAAAATTGTAGGTTTTGCTACAAGTCAACCATTTTATACTTGGAAATGTTGTGAAAAGATTAAACTAGGTGTCAGAGAACAAATTGAGAAGCAAAGTAGGGTAATTTAAGAACTAGGATGTGAGATATATAAAATATCAAGCACCAAAACTATGTAAATTTCTAATCACTTGCTTGCTTAAAATTCTTTTCATAGATTTAAAAAAAAAATATTTCAAAAATAATATTGCTCTCTAGTGAAAAATTATATCACCTGCCAAAAATCAATTTCGAAAAAAAAAAACAAATGAAAAAATTTCGCTCTTTCGCTACCCTTTTTCAAATGAAAGAGTCTGAAGAACTAGAAATTAATTTTTTTGTTGTGGCCCTATGGCTAAAATGGAACATAGGGGTAAAATGCATTTTTTTGCTTTTGAAGAAAATATGACAGATACAAAGAACATTTAAATGGCATTTTTAAGCCACTCATTAATATATTGAAAATTAAAAATAATCATTGATGAAAGATTTTAGCAAAAAATTACAGGTGAGCGATTCAGTCTCTTGAGAGCCTGTTGTTAGTTATTATTAACTGGATTTTCGAAGGAAAAATCGGTTATTGATTTGGGGATGTACGACAGGTGGGCAGCTGCCAAACAGTGTCTGTTCATTTACATGAAAACGCTTTGATGAAATTTTTTCTAATTTTGATATATTGTTTCCTGTGACTAAAAGAAGGTCAAGTTCAATTTTCATGACTTAAGCTTTTCTTGTTCTTAGACCCTTTTAGAAACCAGAAATTTACTTATTATGTGATTGAGTTATTTACCTTTGAACAGAAATTAATAAGATTATGTATAGCTGAGATTATAGATAGTCTATCAATGATTGTACCTGTTCAATTGATTAGTCATGAGTTTTACTATTTTTAAAGGCAGTGCTTTAATGCCTTTCTAGTTGCCGGGTTAATCCTTCCTTCCGCGATATCCAACTTATCTACGTGGGGGGTCATTAGACTCTAATGACCCCCCACGTAGATAAGTTGGATATCGCGGAAATGTTGAATTCTCTCCTCTTCTTATTGCGATATAAAATGTTTTTTGTTTCATTTCATTTACATTGGGAAATAGAGAAACGATCATTGTGTTTTGTTAGTTTTAAAAACTTTTGATATATTAGTATTTTGCATTATAAGCAGTCAACCGATTGACAAACTAGAATTATTTGAATTCCGTGTGGAAAGAGCTCGGGTTAATTTCGAGTGTTATCTGCAATCTAGATGTTTATAAATCATTTCAGTCGTTGATATAATAATTAAAGGTCGACTGAACATGAATTACATTATACAATTTAAAGCGCATTTCTGTTTATGCACGTGAACCCGTCTAACGTTATTTTCGCAGTTATATAAAGTAGCAAATTATCGTTCCTGAATAGGTGGCGCCGTGGTAGCGGATCCTGTTCCTCTACTTCCGGTTTCTGCACTGTGCAACTATTTCAGTTATATTTTTAATTAACGATGCCAAGTACTTGTTGTTGTGTACCTGGATGTCATTTAAGAGGAGGACATGCATTTCCAAATGACTTAAAAAGAAGGAAAAGTTGGATCAACGCCATGGCCCATACGCAGATTGGACGAGAACACGATGATATCGTGGAGTCCATCTCAATCAGCTGTTGTTAGCAAGGCACGTTTTACTGAAAAAGACTACGTGCAGGAAACTATTCATGGTAAAACTCTATTTTCTTTGTGAAATATATAGTTATATATGTAATCGCCATGCGAATAAACCAAAGTCTGTTTACAACCGCAATTATCGTTTTAGAATAAAAGGGGGTGGGTAATTCAAGACGTCATAATTTTTTGGATTACGATTCAATGTGATCTGTTTGAGATTTTTTGGTGATTGCTACAATTATAATGATTTCTTACAAGAGGTATATTATACTGAGAATTATTTTAGCAGTAATTATGCTAATGTAGTAATGACAGGAATGCATAAGCTATGCCTCATAGACTTTCTTGAAAAATATCAATGACAATGTTAACAGGAACAAAACAATGACATGCTCTCATCTATATTATAGTTATTTTGGTACAAACAATGTATGTTTGTTGCATAAGTCTCTCATTGTTTGTCCTTTGGATTTACATAACATACATTGAATCAGGCAAACATAGTTTTATCCAGATTGTAATGACATGAATGAATAAATCTAGTTAATATTTCGCCAGGTAGTACAAAGTATACATTGCTAATGGAAGTTCATTTAATTATAAAAAAACTAATGTTTTATAACCTTTTTCAGGGCGCAAACCCACCATACAGAGACTTAAGTCGACTGCAATTCCCAGCCTATTTTCCTGGACCAAGCAAGAGACTGAATCGTCCGCAAAAAGAAAAATCAGGGCAGTTTCCTGTGAAAACAAAAGAACTAAACTTGATGAATATTGTAGTAGAAATCTAGAGGAAAGTTTTGATTGTAAAGTTGGTTTTTACTGAAGAAGTCATTCATACTGCAGAAAGGATTTATGACTGTCCACCACCAACTGCCGAGCTAATGTTGAGCTTCACAGATGGAATTACGCAAACACCATCAATGCCTATGTTTTCAGCAGAGAATTTTGAAATGAAGACACGTGACACAGCCATGCATTTTTATACCGGTTTAGAGTTGTATACTAAATTTTTATTTGTTTTGACCACACTTGGTCCAGCAGCACATTGTTTGAGATACATATATTTTCAAATTGATAGGGTGTCAGTTGAAAATCAGTTTTTTTATGACTTTGATGAAATTGAGGCATCATACAACCAACTTTGAACTGTCTAGATTCTAGATTGAATCTAGTGTTAAGAATATTGTGTATACATGGATTGTTTTTATGTCTAAACAGTGGTGTGAGGCTAACACTTGTCCATCTAGTGGTTTAGTCAGGTATTTTTCACCATCCAACTTCAAATTAAAGTTTCCTACGACTTGGATTATTAATGACAGCACAGAATATCCCGTGATAAAACCTAAAGCTCCTAGAGCTCAGGCAACCTTTTCATCAAATAAAAACAGAAACACTGAAAATTCTTGAATGTTCGACACCTGGTGGTTTAGTCAACTATGTCTCTATGTCACATAGAGCGAATTTTTGGACTTGGCAAAACATACAAAATTCTAATAAATCCTATGAATGGAACTGAAACAAAACTTTCATCTGAAATAACATTTAGTTGTTTTATGTTGTGTAATTTTAGAACTTGTATTGTGCCAAAGGATGCATAAATAAAAGTGACGCAATGAATTTTGTTCTGATATATATATATTTACAATTACATGCACATGTAAATTGTAATGCATATAAAAATAAGGAGATGTGGTATGATATTCAGTGAGTTTATCAAACTAAAGTGCATAAGAAATGGGTTTAAGCAGTTACAGGTGTTACTGTCACCATACAATCTCCAACAATGAGAAAAACTCGTACCCTGTAAAAAATTTCAGAGATCTTACAACTAAGTTTTGTTGTCTCACCTTGACTTTGGTGAATTTTTTATATCTGTTGATGTAAATATAAAAAAGAAGATGTGGTATGATTGCCAATGAGACAACTCTCCACACATGCACAAGAGACCAAATGACACAGAAATTAACAGCTATAGGTCACAGTACGGCCTTCAACAATGAGCAAAGCCCATACCGCACAGTCAGCTATAAAAGGCCCAGAAATGACAATGTAAAACAATTCAAACAAGAAAACTAACGGCCTATTTTATGTAAAAAAATGAACAAATATAACAAATATGCAACACATAAACAAACGACAACCACTGAATTACACTTTTATAGGCTCCTGACTTGGGACAGGCACATACATGTACATACAGAATGTGGCTGGCTTAAACATGTTAGTGGGATCCCAACCCTCCCCCTAACCTGGGACAGTGGTGTAACAGTACAATATAAAAAAGAACTATAAAAATCAGTTGAAAGAGGCTAAACTCATCAGATGGATAAATACAAATACAAGTGGACGTGGTCGGGTAGTTGTACATCCAAACAACAAAAAGACACTAAGTACAAATCTGAGAGTACTCACAGTTACTGACAGCTAGTTCAAAGCCACTAACAACTGACAAAAAAATCTTGCATCTAAGACTAAATTATCAATCCGTAAGCTCCCTTTAGAATTTTATAAATTTTACATTTTACATTTCTGAGTTATGGGGTTTTATTCATTAAAAAAGGGGGGATTTTCCAGTTTTTGGACAACAACTCAAAAATGCTTTAAGCAGTTCACATGAAACTTTGGTGAATTATTTATAGCTATTGATGTAATCTCCCTATTGATTTTCATAAATTTCAAATATGACATTGAGAAGAAATTGAACTTTATTTGTTTATAGTCTGGCAACAGATTTATTAAGTATTGCACAACAGCAAGAAATCTTTAATTGAATATAAATTCAATTCATATAACCGATTTCAAGTTCATTGACTACATTTATTCAGAAACTATAATATGTCAAATATTTAATTACAATCCAAATTCAGACCTGTATCAAGCTTGAATATTGTGTCCATTTTTGCCCCAGCTGTTCAGGGTAGTACCTCTGCGGGTGTATCCAGCTGCGCTCAGCGAATCAGTTTATTTCTTAATTAAGAACTCCTTTTTATACGACCGCCAACAAATTTTTGTGGTCGTATATTGGTATGACGTTGGCGTCGTCGTCCGAAGACACATTAGTTTTCGCACTCTAACTTTAGTTTAAGTGAATGGATCTCAATGAAATTTTAAAATAAGGTTCAATACCACAAAAGGAAAGTGGGGATTGATTTAGGGGGTTATGGTACCAACAGTTAAGGAATTAGGGGCCAAAAATAAGCTTTTTTGTAACTTCCAGACATAACTTGTGTGTAAGTGTATGGATCTCTCTCTGACATTGTACCACAAGGTCCATATCACAAAGGAAATGCTGGGATTGATTTTTGGGGGTAATTGCCTCCAAATTTTAGGAATTAGGGGCCAAAAAGGGGCAAAAAACAAGCATTTTTCTAGTTTCATGACAATAACTTGTGTGCAAGTCTATGGATCTCTCTGACATTGTATCACAAGGTTCCATATCACAAAGGGAAAGCTGGGATTGAATTTGGGGGTTATCGCTCCAAATTTTAGGAATTAGGGGCCAAAAAGGGTAAAAAAACAAGCATTTTTCTAGTTTCATGGCAATAACTTGTGTGTTAATGTATGGATCTTTATGAAATTGTACTACAAGGTTCCATATCACAAAGGGAAAGCTGGAATTGAGTTTGGGGGTAATTGTCCAAAAAGTTTAGGAATAAGGGGCCAAAAATAAGCATTTTCTAGTTTCCAGACAATAACTTGTGTTCAAGTGTATGGATCTCTCTGAAATTGTACTGCAAGGTACCATACCACAAAGGGAATGCTGGGATTGATTTTGGGGGTAATTGCCTCCAAATTTTAGGAATTAGGGGCCAAAAAGGGGCAAAAAACAAGCATTTTTCTAGTTTCATGACAATAACTTGTGTGTAAGTCTATGGATCTCTCTGACATTGTATCACATGGTTCAATATCACAAAGGGAATGCTGGGATTGATTTTGGGGGAATTGCCTCCAAATTTTAGGAATAAGGGGCCAAAAAGGGGCAAAAAACAAGCATTTTTCTAGTTTCATGGCAATAACTTGTGTGTAAGTGTATGGAATCTATGGATCTTTATGAAATTGTACTACAAGGTTCCATATCACAAAGGGAAAGCTGGGTTTGAGTTTGGGGGTAATTGCCCCAAACGTTTAGGAATTTGGGACCAAAAAGGGGCCAAAAAACAAGCATTTTTCTAGTTTCCAGACAATAACATGTGTTCAAGTGTATGGATCTCTCTGAAATTGTACTGCAAGGTACCATACCACATAGGGAAGGCTGGGATTGAGTTTTGGGGTGATGAATCATATTGGGGTTCAAAAAATTTGGGGGGGGAATTCTTTTTCCTTTTTTTTCTTTAAAATTTTCCATTTTAAATTGGTTATTTCTGATTTATATATAAAAGCAAATAATAATGATATGGTTTGAATAGGTAAATTAAATTTTTTTAAGTATCTTAGACCACTTTCATTCTGTGTCAGAAACCTATGCTGTGTCAAATATTTAATTACAATCCAAATTCAGTGCTGAATCAAGCTTGAATGTTGTGTTCATACTTGCCCCAACTGTTCAGGGTTCGACCTCTGCGGTCGTATCAAACTGCGCCCCAGCGGAGCATTTTATTTCATTCATAAATTACTTTATGCTTGGAAAAATAATTTTGCTTGGAGTTTAAAGAGTTGACATGTTGCAATGTACATTTACTCTACATAGTTCTATGGTACCAAATCAAAAGTTTATATAAAGAAAGAAGTCAAAGGTTTCCCATCATAGTTTAGTTACGTACATTTTTTTTGTACCTGAGGTCGTTGAATATAGATCATTATATAAATAAGGAGATGTGTTATGATTGCCAATGAAAAAACTAAGGATTTTCTTATCCAAGGAATAGATTACCTTAGCCGTATTTGTCACAACTTTTTGGAATTTTGGGTCCTCAATGCTCTTCAACTTTGTACTTGTTTGGCTTTATTACTATTTTGATCTGAACGTCACTGATGAGTCTTATGTAGACGAAACACACGTCTGGCGTATTAAATTATAATCCTGGTACCTTTGATAACTAATTTGACTATAAACATAGATAAAAAAGGTACAAACTGGACATAATGCACTAGTTCATAAACAAGTGAGAACAATCGCCTTCATATAGTGCTCAGAATATGACATTCATAAAACTTATTCAATATCATTAAGGAACTCTAAATCTTAAATACTGAAAGCCACCTCTGATAAGTACATTGTACTATGCAAGATAATGATATAACTGGACTTAAAATACACACAACCTGTAATTAACTGCCTTTACAGCGCTTTCGTGCTTTGATTTTTTAAGTCATATGTGTTTTGAAGGTAGATGTCACAGTTGTTATGTGTTATTTTATTTTTGCTTACTTATGCCACTTTTTTTGTTGTGTGTGTTAATGTTACATTTTTAATTGATCCTGTTTGGGTGTCCAGATTTGCAAATATCATTTTCATTAGATAATAATCTATTTTTATTAAAGGATATTTCATTACATTATATTGATTTGTGTAGATAAAGTTGTTGACATTGATAGATAAGTTGCAGATAAGATATTAGTTTGTGACAAATGAAATAAAAAATATTAGGAACTATTAATTATATTTGATTATAATTTGAAAACATCATATCTAATTTTAGAGAACAATTTTTTTTAGTGGTGAAATCATATCTAATTTTAGATTTGCATTACTGGTTCATGGAAACAAGTTTGAGTTATATCCCTTTGGACAGAAATTGTTTTAATCAATAAGTATTTCATCAAAAATTTGAATATTTGGGGTTCTTTGATAAGCTGATTCTAACAATGTACTTAGATTTTGGATATTGGACCATAATAGGCAAATGTCCAATTTCAAATTTTTCAGTTCTTTGACCACATTTATTTTTTGTCACAAACCTATGCTGTATCAAATATTCAATCACAATCCAAATTCAGAGCTGTTTTAAGCTTAAATGTTGTGTTTATACTTGCTCAACTGTTCAGGGTTCGACCTATGCAGGAAAATCCGATTTGCTGTCACTCTGACAGCCACTTGTCTTGAATATTATTATTGATAAAAATAAAATGTGAGCAGTAAAAATGTTCAGCATACAAAATGTAGTAAGATCTTCAAATAAGTCAAAATGACTAAAATTGTTTATTGACCCCTTAAGGAGTTATTTGCCTTTAAAGACAATTTTACGCAATTTGTTCATCATGTTTGTTAACTTTAAAAAATCTTCCTCTCTGAAACTGCTGAACCAATTTCAACCAAACTTGAATAGAATGATCCTTATGGTATCTAGTATAAACTTTGTGTTTAAATAAGAGTTTCGTCAAAAAACATGGCTGCCATGACTAGAAATAGAACATAGGCATGATAGGGGTAAAATGCAGTTTTTGTCGAGCCTGCGACTTTTGTCGCAGAAAGCTCGACATAGGGATAGTGATCCGGCGGCGGCGGCGGCGGCGGCGTTAGCTAACTTCTTAAAAGCTTTATATTTTAGAAGGTGGAAGGTCTGGATGCTTCATACTTTGTATATGGATGCCTCATGTTACGAAGTTTCCGTCAGTCACATGTCCAATGTCCTTGACCTCATTTTCATGGTTCAGTGACTACTTGAAAAAAAAGTTAAGATTTTTTGTAATGTTAGATTCTCTCTTATTATAAGTAATAGGATAACTATATTTGGTATGTGCGTACCTTGCAAGGTCCTCATGCCCGTCAGACAGTTTTCACTTGACCTCGACCTCATTTCATGGATCAGTGAACAAGGTTAAGTTTTGGTGGTCAAGTCCATATCTCAGATACTATAAGCAATAGGTCTAGTATATTCGGTGTATGGAAGGACTGTAAGGTGTACATGTCCAACTGGCAGGTGTCATCTGTCCTTGACCTCATTTTCATGGTTCAGTGGTTATAGTTAAGTTTTTGTGTTTTGGTCTGTTTTTCTTATACTGTATGCCATAGGTCTACTATATTTGGTGTATGGAATGATTGTAAGGTGTACATGTCTAGCGGGCAGGTGTCATTTGACCTTGACCTCATTTTCATGGTTCAGTGGTCAAAGTTAAGTTTTTGAGTCATGGTCTTTTTTTCTAATACTATGTGCAATAGTTCAACCTTATTTGGTATGTGCGTACCTTGCAAGGTCCTCATGCCCGTCAGACAGTTTTCACTTGACCTCGACCTCATTTCATGGATCAGTGAACAAGGTTAAGTTTTGGTGGTCAAGTCCATATCTCAGATACTATAAGCAATAGGTCTAGTATATTCGGTGTATGGAAGGACTGTAAGGTGTACATGTCCAACTGGCAGGTGTCATCTGTCCTTGACCTCATTTTCATGGTTCAGTGGTTATAGTTAAGTTTTTGTGTTTTGGTCTGTTTTTCTTATACTGTATGCCATAGGTCTACTATATTTGGTGTATGGAATGATTGTAAGGTGTACATGTCTAGCGGGCAGGTGTCATTTGACCTTCACCTCATTTTCATGGTTCAGTGGTCAAAGTTAAGTTTTTGAGTCTTGGTCTTTTTTTCTAATACTATGTGCAATAGTTCAACTTTATTTGGTATGTGCGTACCTTGCAAGGTCCTCATGCCCGTCAGACAGTTTTCACTTGACCTCGACCTCATTTCATGGATCAATGAACAAGGTTAAGTTTTGGTGGTCAAGTCCATATCTCAGATACTATAAGCAATAGGTCTAGTATATTCGGTGTATGGAAGGACTGTAAGGTGTACATGTCCAACTGGCAGGTGTCATCTGACCTTGACCTCATTTTCATGGTTCAGTGGTTATAGTTAAGTTTTTGTGTTTTGGTCTGTTTTTCTTATACTGTATGCC